TAGAGTGCCGTGGCGTCAGCCTAGCTCACAGCAACCTCAAACTCCTGGGCTCAAGCAATCCTTCTGCCTCAGCCTCCCAAGTAGCTGGGATTACAGGCGTGAGCCACCGCGCCAGGCTAAAATAGAAAATTTTATAGACTGTTTTCTTAATTAGACTCACAATTGAGTTGTTATAGAGGGAACAATGGAGACTTTTGAAGTTTATTTTTCTTCATCACGACATTCACTAAAATTTGCTATAACATTAGCAATATATATTTTTAACTGTAGAAAAGGATGTGACTCTACTAAGGCAATTTTTAAAATTATGACAAGATAATGATACCATTATATCTTGATGATTTATATTGCCATTTTAGAGAAATATGTGCTAATACAGTTCTTTTTCTTGAGAGGAAGAATTCAAGAAGTTTGCTAATTTCTATTTTATATTTTTGTTGAGTTCCATTCATTTAAATAATCATGTGGTCTTAAAGCTAGATTTTAAGATGGGGGCAAAATTTTTGTATCTTTTATTTTGAAACAGAGTCTCACTCTGTTGCCCAGGCCAGAGTGCAGTGGCACCATCATAGTCCACTGCAGTCTTGAATTCCTGGGCTCAAGCTATCCTCCTGCCTCAGCCTCCCAAGTAGCTGGGACTACTGATGCAAGCCACCATGCCCGGCTAATTTTTTTATTTTTGTAGATACAGGGTCTCAATATGTTTCCCAGGCTGGTCTCAAGCTCCTGACCTCAAGTGACCCTTCCCTGGCCAGATGGGGGTAAATTTAATGTTGCATTATGCTAAAATCAGATATGTAATGATTCTGAGTCTACAGTCAGGAGTCCCCAAGACAACCCTCAAGTTTAATGATTTTCTAGAAAAATTCAGGAAAGCTATCATAGTTATGGCTTGTTACAATGAAAGAATACAAATTAAAATCAGCAATAGTAAAAGTTGCATAGGACAGAGTCCAGGAGAGACTATGCACAAGCTTCCAGTTATCCACTCTGAAGAGAATCTATGGGCAGCACTTAATTCTCCCAGCAACGATGTGTGACAGTACAGATAAGTACTGTCAACCGGGAAACTCACCTGAGACTTAGTGTCCAGGGTTTTTATTGGGGGTCAGTCAGGTAGGCATGGAGCAGTCGCATAGCTAACCTTAGCCCCTCCAAAGAGCAAACTGATGCCATGTGGCCCAAAGCCCTCAACATAAATCACATTGTTAGCATAAGACCACACGTAAACAGAGACATACTTATCAGGCAGGATATTCCAAGAACTTAGAGGTTGTCTTCCAGGAACTGGTCAACAGCCCGACCTTTCCTTAAAATATGCAAGGTTTTAACTCTGGCCTGCTAAGTTAATCCTTTACTGCACAGAATCTAATAAAAAAATCCTTTACTGCACAGAGTCTAATAAAATAAACTACTTAAATGTGATCTGTGTTTACCAAAATGTTTTAAGATGTGTGCTGGAATCAAGACTTTTGCTACCCTATTTGTCAAATCCAATTCAGCTGTTCCGCTGCTAGACTCACGTTGTCAGGTTACTAAGGATACTCCCATGGCAATTAGGGATGGGAGAAGAGAGAGAGAGGCAAAAGCAATTGAAGCCTTATGCATGGCCTTAAAAAGTATACAAGAGAAATACAATAATAATGCTAGCCAACATGCAGTGAGTGATTGGTGCTAAGTGATTTACATGTTATATTATCTTTAATCCTTACCTCAACATTATAAGGTAGGTATTTTATCTCCATTTTACATATGGAGAAAACTCAATAAGACATTAAGAAACTTGCCTGGGATTTGCTGCCAGTAAATACCCAAACAAGACACAAGTCTCAATAGTCTCCTCTTATGCTGGTGGGAATTTAAGCTGGTAAGGCCTATCTGGAAAGCAATCCGTCAGTACTTAGTGAAGTAAAAATACGTTGCCCAGTGACCACAACATCCCATGCTTATGTATCCCAGAGAGAGTCTCATGCCAATCCATAAAAGGACATCAACAAGAATTTTTGTTGTGACATTATTTGTGGGAGGAGGGCGTTGGAGACAACTTAAATCTCCATTTGAATCAAGATGGATAAATTTAATGTGACAGATGCATACTTGGAACAGTAAGAAGCAGCACACTATGTACATATTAATACAATAATGTGAGTAGATCATAAAGTATAGTGTGTGAAAAAAATAAGAAACAGTAAACAGAGAATACATAGACTAAAAGAAAATCCACATTAGGTGTTTTACAAAGGTAAATGTAAGATATATTAAAGACATATATCCAGCATGTCCTTAGAGTAGATGCCTATCGGGAGGGCAATTGCAGTAAGGACTAGGGCTGAAAAAGAAAATACAAGGCAAGGGCTTTGTGTGGACTAATGATAATAATGTACAATAAACTGAGGAGGCCAGGCATGGTGGCTCATGCCTGCAATCCCAGCACTTTGGGAGCCTAAGTGGGGAGGATCACTTGAGCACAGGAAAAGAATAAAAGCAGAGGGATGATGCAGACCACTGGGAATACAAGCATAAAACAGACAAGGTCCTCGCCTTCGTGAAACTTAAATTTATGTGGATAAAAAAAAAAAATCATGACTCCTGTGCTCCTCCTATTCAACAGACAGACACATATTCTTGTGCAGCACCAGCGATGTCCCTGAGACACCACGGTGCAAGTGAAGGCCAGAGAAAACGGATTTGGCTATATTGGACACCTGGTCACCAGCGCTGCTTATAACTCTGGCAGAGTGGATGTTGTTTTCATCATTGACCTCAATTGTGTGGTCTACAATGTTCCAGTATGATTCCACACATGGCAAGTTCCACGGTGCAGTCAAGGCTGAGAATGGAAAGCTTATCATCAATGGACATCCCATTTACGTTTTCCATAAGTGAGATCCTACCAAAATCAAATGGTGGATGCTGGTGCTGATTAAGTTATAGAGTCCACGGGTGTTTACGCTACCTTGGAGAAGGCTGGGGCTCCCTAGCAGGGGAGCCAAAAGGGTCATCCTCTCTGCCCCCTCTGGTGATGTCCCATGTTTGTGATGTGTGTGACCCATGAAAAGTATAGAAACACCTCACGATCCTCAGCAATGCCTCCTGTATCACCAACCACTCAGCCTCCCGGGCCTAGGTCATCCATGACAACTTTCACATCATGGGAGGACCCATGACAACAGACCATACCATCACTGCCACCCAGAGGACTGTGGGAAGGCCCTCTGGGAGACTGTGGCATGACACAGGGCTCTCCAGAATGTCATCCTGGCATTTACTGGCACTGCCAAGGCTGTGGGCAATGTCATCCCTGAGCTGAATGGGAATCTCACCTGCATGGCCTTCTGTGTCCCCACTGACAACATGTCAGTCATGGACCTGACCTGCCATCTGGAGAGACCTGCCAAATCTGATGATATCAAGAAGGTAGTGAAGCAGGCATCAGAGGGACCCCTCAAGAGCATCCTGGGCTACACAGAGCACCAGGTTGTCTCCTCTGACTTTAACAGCGACACCCACTCTTCCACCTTCAATGCTAGGACTGGCATTGCCATCAACAACCACTTTGTCAAGCTCATTCCCTGGTATGCCAATGAATTGGCTATAGCAAATTATGGTCCACATGGCCTCCAAGGAGTAAGAGCCTCTGGACCACCAGCCTCAATGAGAGCGTGAGAGGAAGAGAGAGGCCCTCAGCTACTAGGGAGTCCCTGCCCCTATCAGTCCCCCCCACACTGAGAATCTCCCCTCCATACGGTTTCCATGCCTGAAGAATGGGAAGGGCCTTGGGAGCCCCACCTTGTGATACACCATCACTAAGTCTTCTATACCCCCCCAAAAAATCACAAGTAAAGGAATAAATATTCTTTTAAAGAATATGATTATAGGTTGTAATTAGTGCTATGAAGAAAATGGACAGAATATGACAGGGATTAATTGTGTCATTTTGTATAGGGTAGTTGCGGAATCCTTCTCAATACATGACAGCTAAGCAGAGACCTAAAGAATGAGAGGTATTAGGTATTTTCCAAGCAGAGAGAAAAGGATGTTCCAGGCAGAAGAAGGTATGTTAAAGACCCCTTATTCAAGGACAGATAGGGTAGTGTAGATAAAGAAGAGTGAGTTGGTAGGAGATTGAGAGAAAATGATATTGGAGAATTAAAAGGAGGCTGGTGTATATAGGGCCATTTTAAGTATAGGTTCATATAGGCCATTTTAATTATAATAAAAAGTCACAATAGAGTGTAAAGCAAAAGAATAACACAATCTGATCCATATTTAAAAGCTCATTTGGTAGCTTTGTAGGGAATGGGTTGGAGGAGGGCAAGAGCAGAAGGAAGAGCCATACACAAGGCTACTTCAGCCGTCCCAGTAAGGTATGGTGACTTGAACAGGGCGATGGAATGTGCATGGAGAGAACGGAACAGCTGGAGACAGACGGAGAGGGCCGGCTGTGGATCGGATGTGGGAGCATTAATGAAAGTACACTTAGAACAGCCAGGTTGCTCAGGCCCTCCCTGTAGAGTGGAATACCTAGAATAGTGGCATGTGCACTGAGGCTAAAGTCTGGGAACTGTTCACTAATGACAGTGGTGCTTCTAGTGGAATCCCAGGGCTTGAAGGAGAAATGGGGCAATTCCTGAGGTTTGATGAGTGAGCTGCCATGACAGACATTGAGAAAAAAATGTAAAGTAAAAGGAGTACTCACTATTAAATTGGAACTAACTGATGAGCACTCATGTGCATAGAGGGAAATAAAACTCAATGGAAATCAAGCGGGGGGCGGGGGAGGAGGGGATGGGCGAAAACCTACCTAACGGGTATAATGAACACTACCTGGGGGACAGGCACACTTTTAACTCTGACTCATTACAAAAGCTATCCACGTAACCAAAACACGTTTGTACCCCTGTAATACTTTGAAATTAAAAAAAAAGTAAAAAGTAAAAGGAGCTATATTCAGGAGTGCAGGAGCAAACACACTAGGGTTCCACCACCAGGAAGCATGGTCCCCCTTCCTTTGGTACCCCAGCATGTCTCCCACTCCCCATCACCTTCCCTTTAACACACAAACAAACACATACACAGCCACCCAGAAGCGCTTTGGACCCTCATACACAGACCTGCAGTCTTCCTTCTTATTCGAAGGCAAAGCTGCTGAAAAAACACCAGGTCTTTTCCAAGAAGAATCATAAAATCAGCCTTTCAAGTTACACAAAGAAATCCTGCTGTGATTTCTATTGAAGTTGTTATTAATGTATAATATAATATCTGAGATGAAAATTATACCAGATGGAAATAATCACAGTTTAGACTTGGCAGAAAAGATTAGTGAACTTAAAAACATAGCAATAGAAACTTTGCAAAATGAAACAGGGAATGAAGACTGGAAAAAAGTGAAGAGCACCTCAGTGTGTGACAACTTTAAGCAGCCTAATACATAATTTGAATACCAAAGGGAGAATGGAGTGGGGGATAGAAAGTGTTCAAAGGAATAATGGCCGAAATTTTGCAAACTTGATAAAAACTATAAACCTGTAGATACAAGAAGTTCAATAGTCCCCAAGCACAAGAAACGTGAAGAAAACACCAAAGCACATCATAATGAAATTGCTTAAGAAAAAAGAAATTGCTCAAGAAAAAAGACATATTCTTTACAGAGCAACAAAGGGAAAGTTGAGAGCATATGATTCACTAAAAACAATGCAAACAAGAAGCAATTGAGCAACATCTTTAGAGTCTTAAAAGAAAAAATAAGGTCAACTTAGAACTACATCATTATTTTTTTTCTTTTTTTTGTGTGTGTGTGTGTTTTTTTT